TCTTATCTTTCGGCTTTTTCGTCAAGCGACACTCTTGAATTTTACCCGGCGCGTTTTCTTCGCGCCCAACCACGTTCCCACCGAATGAGGCACCATCTATGCTCTCTGAAGTCTCGGGCGGGGTCTTATCTTCATTCAGAAGCGCGGCACCTGTTCCCGTGCGACGGCACACCGCCTCGTCAGGAAATTGACACATAAATCATTCTCGTCAGCTATCGAACGAGCCGGCGAGCGTACGACAGGTTCTCGTACGTAGCTGACTGTACACAGGATGTCGCAGGAATGGCACACTTCCTACCAACTGTGCGAAACCTCCGGTGAATCTAAGATCAGTCGCTAAATGCTTGCTGAGCCGTTTGAGACACGTGACGTTCCCGTCGATCTGTATCCCTACATGATTTTATATTTACAAGGAAACCCACACAAGAGTCCGCCTCCGATTTTCATAAATTTGTAATATATTGTAAGGGAGAGGAGGGCAAATAGTGACAATTTAAATTTCTCCTATTTCCCACGTCTATCCTAGATCCTACCTATCCTCTTTTATTTATTTAGTCACACACATCGTCAAAAGAGAGACTGAATGGAAGTTCAGAACTGTTTTTCATGATTGTCACCATTTTCCCCATACTATGGCAAATAATGACAAAATGTAGATTTTAGTTTCTATGAAAATCTAGTTATTTTATATGACTTATGGGTCTTGTACTTAAGTTTCTCGTATAATTGAAGGTGGAAAGTATTGTTTTAGTAAAATCCGGTCTCGACAACTTGAAAATAGCTTACGCAAGGGAGAAAAAAATTCGACACTATTTGTCCCACTTTCCCTTACTTTAGATCAAAATAATGTCTAAAATCGGGACATAAGACGTCTTAAAGATCATCTTTAAGATGTCTTTCAGACGATTTACGTATAAATGTCTTTAAGGCGTCTTAAAGATTATCTTTAAGACGTATTATGTCCCGATTTTAGACATTATATTGTCTGGAATGCTACTACCATCGTCAATAGCGAGTAAGTTCTCGAGCATCTAACCATCTTTGAAAAAGCGACTAAATTGCTAAGCCAAACATAGCTAATAAAGAAATCTAAAATTTTGGCCTCTATGAAACAAGATAAAACCTGAATCTTATTCGGCTATTTCTGTCTAGATTGTTTTGACTCCTGAACCCCTAAATGAGATTTTACCTGTTCAGCGTTGTATGATATGTGTTTCTTCTAGTGTGATCTAATCTCTATACGTATATATCAATTCGTTTATTGTTTTAAGTGCTTTGAAAGAAGAGGTAACTCCTGGACAAAGAGTGACAAAATTTAAATAATGTTACTTGTCGTATTCAGTGTTTGTTGAATTACATTTCTTTCTATTTATTTTGTTGAATGTAACTTAAAAGTCATTAAACTAAGTTTAAATACAGAAAATATTAATAAGTAATTTGAAAAATCGCTTTCCAAAAGCACGTCATATTATTTCACCAAAATTAGATTTTATACATCATTTGTTTTAATAAAATTCTTACATATGGCAATAAAGAAATTATATTTTAATTTTTATTTAGTTACACACATCAAAAGAGAGACTGAATGGAAGTTCAGAACTGTTGTTTTTCATGATTGTCACCATTTTTCCCATACTATGGCAAATAATGACAAAATGTAGATTTTAGTTTCTATGAAAATCTAGTTATTTTATATGACTTATGGGTCTTGTACTTAAGTTTCTCGTATAATTGAAGGTGGAAAGTATTGTTTTAGTAAAATCCGGTCTCGACAACTTGAAAATAGCTTACGCAAGGGAGAAAAAAATTCGACACTATTTGTCCCACTTTCCCTTACTTTAGATCAAAATAATGTCTAAAATCGGGACATAAGACGTCTTAAAGATCATCTTTAAGATGTCTTTCAGACGATTTACGTATAAATGTCTTTAAGGCGTCTTAAAGATTATCTTTAAGACGTATTATGTCCCGATTTTAGACATTATATTGTCTGGGATGCTACTACCATCGTCAATAGCGAGTAAGTTCTCGAGCATCTAACCATCTTTGAAAAAGCGATTAAATTGCTAAGCCAAACATAGCTAATAAAGAAATCTAGAATTTTGGCCTCTATGAAACAAGATAAAACCTGAATCTTATTCGGCTATTTCTGTCTAGATTGTTTTGACTCCTGAACCCCTAAATGAGATTTTACCTGTTCAGCGTTGTATGATATGTGTTTCTTCTAGTGTGATCTAATCTCTATACGTATATATCAATTCGTTGATTGTTTTAAGTGCTTTGAAAGAAGAGGTAACTCCTGGACAAAGAATGACAAAATTTAAATAATGTTACTTGTCGTATTCAGTGTTTGTTGAATTGAATTTCTTTCTATTTATTTTGTTGAATGTAACTTAAAAGTCATTAAACTAAGTTTAAATACAGAAAATATTAATAAGTAATTTGAAAAATCACTTTCCAAAAGCACGTCATATTATTTCACCAAAATTAGATTTTATACATCATTTGTTTTAATAAAATTCTTACATATGGCAATAAAGAAATTATATTTTAATTTTTATTTAGTTACACACATCAAAAGAGAGACTGAATGGAAGTTCAGAACTGTTTTTCATGATTGTCACCATTTTCCCCATACTATGGCAAATAATGACAAAATGTAGATTTTAGTTTCTATGAAAATCTAGTTATTTTATATGACTTATGGATCTTGTACTTAAGTTTTTCGTATAATTAAAGGTGGAAAGTATTGTTTTAGTAAAACATCCGGTCTCGACAACTTGAAAATAGCTTACGCGAGGGAGAAACCGTCACTATTTGCCCCACTTTCCCTTACTTTAGATCAAAATAACATATACGTTTTTTATTATATGTGTCCTTTCGCAAGTTTAGAGGGTGAAATACTTTGAAGAAAATCGGTTTTTTCATTCGAAGGGAATATAATAAGAGATAGAAAAAAAATATTTTGAATAAAAGTTGAATGGTTTGAAGAATACTTTACAGAAATTATTTGAAAAAAAATTTTTTTGTTAATATTTTTTCCACTACTTTTTATTATAATTATTAAAATAATTTCTGTAAAGTACTCTTCAAACCATTCAACTTTTATTAAAAATATTTTTTTCTATCTCTTATAGTTTTCATTATATTCCTTTCGAATGAAAAAAACTGATTTTCTCCAAAGAGGTATTTCACCTTCTAAACTTGCGAAAGGGCACATATAATAAAAAACGTATCTGTTATTTTGATCTGAAGCACAACATATTACAAGTTCATGAAAATCGGAGGCGGACACTTGTGTGGGTTTTCTTGTTAGTCGATATCTTTTGACGCCAAATTTGGAAATGTTAGTACCGCACGATCGTGACAAAATGAACATTAGAGTGAGTGTAATACAATAAAAATAATTCGAATTTTCGCGCGAAAGAGAATACTTTGCGTTACACGGAAGAGAAAGTTTGATTGGATCAACCAAACTTTTAAAACATGAACAAATCAGACGTTCCAGTTGAAGTTTTGTTAGCAATTCAAGTTACCAAGATTTCTGGTTAACTTGAATGGAATTCTGGTAACTTCAGTCGGAACTTTCGTTCGTATTTTATCAGAAGTTTGATTAATCTAACTGACAGTTTTTCCGTGCATAGTTTCGCATAATGAGACGTATTGCTTGTCGCGAGTTGTGACTGAAACGCATCGCCGTGTGAGTATATCGTTGTGCGCGTAAACGTACACTACAAAAATTATCTATTTAAAATTAAAATACTTGGTACATTTGGTTAGCGTGTTTCTTACTTGTGTCTAGTGATAGAAAGGAAGATAGATAGAGAACAAGGAACAGGAAGCGAAGAACACATTGTAGATTAGGCTTAAAACCGAGAGCTCCGCTGCCGCGTGGTGCAACAGGTTTCGAAAATCGGCGAATCACCTTGGCGAACAATGTGCTCCGACAGGCCATTAAGTGGAAGAAATTAGAGATACAGAGGCGAGTACGAGCCTATCGTGAATGCCTATCGAAAGTTGCTTCGGCCTGTTAACGGCATTGCGCTAATGCGCGACGACGAGGAGTCAATTAGGAGGACACTCGTTATGGGGGCATTAGCGGTTGCATGTTGTGTGCTAAAATCGTCGAAGGTGCAAGATCACCGTGACTTGGCCATCTCCTTAGATATAACATGTAAATTCCGCAAAAATTTGCAGCTAAAACGATCTGTTAATCGCGAGAGACGCCAACGTGAGAGCGGAAGATTCGCGGAAGTTTAATTTATCGTATTCTCGTTCTCTCAGCTGAAAAACATTCCTGCAGAGAAAATATAACAAATATGACGTAAGATATGAATTTTTATTTTTTATTATAATGTTACAACGCATGAGTCGGCAGAATTAAGTTCTGCAGACAATATTTCTTCAATATCTCTCACGGTTCAAGTGATGTTCACACAAGACAGTATGAAAAATCATATTCTCTTCGAAAGTATGTTTTGATCCTGAGAATTGTCTTTAACTCAAAACAGTTCTTCCAAAATAATTTTTGATTTTTTATAAAATTATTTTATTTTTTCGTATATATATATTTTTTTTTTTTTAATTTTTTCTTTATAATTATTCTTCATAATTCGACTGAGGCTCCTTTATAATAAACACTTTACACGGAGAGAATATATTTTTATAGTTTTTTTCCACATGGGAATTTCTTTCAATTTTACTATATTTTTAATAGTGCAGGAAAATAGATTGTCAGTAAAATCTTTGTTAAGAACAAATTTCGCTAGAAATATAGCATACTTTTTAATAGCTATTTTTCATTTTAATTGCTGAAATATAAGAAATAAAATGATAATAGATTTCTCCAGAATATTAATTTATTCTATACACAGCTACAAAATTCGAATTTTCAAACTTTTGCTGCAAAATTCTCTTCATGTGTGCGTGCGATCAATCAAAGATCGATTACATAAAGGTAAATAACTTATTCATTGTAAATAACTTATTCATTACTTTACCTGCATATAAAAAGCTTCTCCTCTCGTGACGACGAAGCTATTGGCTTGGTCATCCGTTTGTAGAGCGAAGAGGCTCTCCGCCACGATTGACAGCGCCGCTGTAAGAAGCATCGAACGACACGACTTATAACTTTCTAAAGCTGTATATCTCACTCAGCAGCTAAAACTGTCTATACAGGGTGAGCCAAAATTGTGGAAACAGTAGAATATCTCGAAAAAAAGCATTTTTTAGGAAAATGTTTCAGACAAAAGTTATAGGGTTTCAGAAAATCTATTTAATAGCCGTATCAGTTTTGACCTTGGGTGATGCCGCCAAGGTCAACTTTGCTTTTTTAAATAGAAATATGTATTTTTTTTTATTACAGAATTTTATTCTATGTAAAGAAATAAATAACTTTTGTTTGAAAAATTTTTTCATATGATTTCTATTTTCTAAGATATTTACGGAAACATCTACAAAATTATATTAAATTATTAAATAATTTTTTACTCGAATTCTGCCAACTTTACCGAAAAATAACAAGAGATAAAAATTATCTATTTTCTTCTCATAGAGCTCTGAGAATTTTTTTTAGAATTTTCTAATTAACTTTTTAGTACTGCATTTTTTGCATTTCCTTGAAATACTAAAAAGTTTATATAAAATTCTGAAAAAATTCTCAGAGCTCTATGAGAAAAAATAAACAATTTTTATCTCTTGCTATTTTTCGGTAAAGTTGATAGAATTTGAGTAAAAAATTATTGAAACCAATAATTTTGTAGATATTTCTGTAAATATCTTAGAAAATAGAGATGGTATAAAAAATTTTTCAAACAAAAGTTGTTTGTTTCTTTACGCAGAATAAAATTCCGTAATAAAAAATATATGTTTCTATTTAAAAAAGCAAAGTTGACCTCGACCTGACCTTGGCGGCGTCACTCAAGGTCAAAATTGATATGGCCATTAAATAGATCTTCTGAAACCCTATAACTTTTGTCAAAACATTTTCCTCAAAAATACTTTTTTTCGAGATATTCGACTGTTTCCACAATTTTGACCACCCTATATATCGTAAATGCGTAACTGCCCGTTTCAAAAGAACCCACATAGTATGCAATGTGCGTTTCCTACTTAATTAACATATGAATTCCGTGCAGAATTTCACACGTTTAATGGAATCGTAAGTTACTTGAAAAGTGTCCAACAATAAAAATATTTATTTTTACAATAAATATTCTTTACTGTCTCAGGATATTAATTGCAATTCCCGCTAAAACTGACTTAACTGGATAACTAATAAATCGAACGTCGACGTGGTGCGTAGGTGGTATATGCTCAGCGTTTCATTAATTTGCGTATGAAGTTATTAACGTGGCGGATGAGGCCGGTACATTTACTCCATTAGAATATATCGCTTTACCGTAACGTAATCTGCCGCGGATATTCGATGCGCCCGCCGCGGTAAAGGTAAGTAGGCCAGTAAGTTGACGACGTGCGGAGGGAGGACACGAGGAGCGATAATCCTACCGTGTCCACAGTATTGCGAAACTGTACGATCACACAGCAGAACTTCCACATCACGATTCGGATTATTCGTGCTTTCGTGTGTCAAGACCTTGGCTCACACGGTGACTAGTCCATTACGTAATGGCGAGGAAACGTATAGTAAATAGTGGACATTTGTGAAGGTAATCCCGCAGGGTAAATTCTAATAAGAATTATAACGCGAATAATCACACGATATATCTAATAGCAGTAAATAAAATATACGATTGATTTATGCATTGAATAGTGATATATTAAATTACTACTTAATAATACATTAAATAATGATATAATATGTTTTATAGATTGATAGCGATATTGAGCAGAGAAGAAAAAAGCGATACTCCGTGCATGGAATTATACTATATATGGAGAAGATACTATAGTTTCTTCATATTAATTTTCTTAAATTATGCTACTGTTTTATGTAGTTCAGGAATAGACTGTCTGTAAGATTTATCTTGCTGATAAATTTCGTAAGAAATACAGCATATTTCACTGAAAACACAAGTGTTTTAATAGCACATTTCAGTAAGTAGCGCATATGAAATTAGAGAACAGTGAATTACTGTAAAAAATGTAAGAAAAATACTGTAAGAAATATAACCATTTATTGGTTACAAAATTTTGTAACAACATTTGCTATAAAATTCTCTCTGTATTATATTGTATGAACTTTTTAGCTATTAGATTAATTACATGCAAACAATATAATTTTTCTCCGCTAAAAACACGTGTGTTTAGGAAAAAAGAATAATGCAATCATAAATATCGTGCAATGTAAATGTGGAACTTCTTCACTTAGACAAAAATTTTGGGTATTTGTAACAATATATAATCACAAAGATAAGTAATTATTATAAATTATGACCAAGACAAATATTTTTTTAAAATAAATTCTATTATAATGTTAGCGATAATAACCTTGTATACGTGTTGCTATTATTATTTTACTACAAAAAATATGGTTAGGTCCTAAAAAATAACTATAGTTTTAGTTAGATCTATTTTTTTTCCAATTGCTCCAATTTTTCCATTATTCCAAGAGCTCGCAGTTGATGCGATCTCATATCAGCGTCACCGTTTCCACTATCACAAAACACGAGGATGTCCGCTGTTTCAAGTAACTTTATTTCTTCTTTGCTTAATCTCTCCCATCCCCTCCGTAACGTAATGAAAATTCGTACTCACTTGCCAACGTTGCCAGGGCGACTTTGCTTATTACGGCGGTGCTGTACGAAATTACGACCCGCTTTGCGGAGGAGGCCATCGCTAATTGAAGCACAGCCAGAGCGACCAGAATCGCCAAAAGGCCAGAGGCGCCAGCAGCAGCTAATCCCGCCACCCACACAGCCACTGAAACAAAGGAGGAAGAATTCCTGTCATAATTCTATCGCGTCCTATTGTGATTCCGCGCTCATCAGATTTTTGCTCCGCATCCGCTTTCAGCCCCGTTATAATTTTATACCTTTCAAATGTTACGGTATTCCCGGTAATGAGTAAATAACGGGACAATGGAAAGATGAGAATGATGAATCGTAGTTTGTACCAACTAGAACATTATGAACGCGCATCAGCTTTGTTACCATTTCCGACTAAATCATAATTAAAACAAATTATTTTATATATATATATATATATATATATATATATATATATATATATATCTCGACTATTATAATAAATATCAAAAAAAGGTATGAGACTTTTATGTTCACCTCAATTCGTTCTACATTCCCACAAAGATTACGAAGAAAAGTTTGGGACATCCTGTATGTATGTGTGTGTGTGTATATACAGGATGTCTCACACTCGCAATAATGATCGAGATATTAATTGTAGAAAACTTGTAAATGATCATGCACAATATAGTAAATAAGTTATAAGTTATAGCGACGACTGCCGTCGTGTACTTATACTTTAGGTCAAATTGAACAAAAAAGTCCTCTACCATTTTGCAAATAATCACATAGATTTTTAATTATTAATTAAAGAAGATTATTGCACGATTTTGCATAATAATGCACTCATCTTCTTTAATTAATAATTAAAAATCTATGTGATTATTTGCAAAATGGTAGAGGACTTTTTTGTTCAATTTGACCTAAAGTATAAGTATACAACGGCAGTCGTCGCTATTATAACTCATTTACCATATCCTGCATGATCATTCACAAATTTTCTACAATTAACATCTCAATAATTATTGCGAATATCGCAAAACGGTATAGAACTTTTATGTTCACCTCAACTTGTTCTACGTCCCCGCAAAATACCCGGAGGAGAGTGTGAGACACCCTGTATATACCTGTATATGTATATTTAGTTCCTTAATTAACATTCACTAATCATATGCGTTTAAAAAGATATAATCTCATTCTTAGCAGAATTCTTTTATACGTAGACTTGAGAAGATTCTTCTAAAACTAAAAGGAAAATATTCCAAGCGCAATATTGTTCCCCTTTATTAGAAGAAGAATACTCTTCCAGACAAATTTTTCGCTTAGAATATGGGATCGCAGAAAATAGCATCTTATCATTAAAGTTTTTCTTTTTTGAGTATTAAAATATTTTTTTAATTTTTGTTTTTAAAAACAAGAATCCTTCGAAGGCTATAATATAAGAGGATTCCGCTAAGAATGAAATTATATTTTTTGGGTATGACGCGCTTATTGAAGTGAAGTTGAAAAATTATAATATTCTTTCCCACAATGTACTTAAAAAGTAATCTGTATAAGATGGAATTACCATCTATCTGTCTGTTCCCTATAAACTCCTACACATTTTAATCAAATTTTGCATAGTTACTCTCTAGGAGCCTGTGGAAAATATAGGCTACCATTGAACACCCCACATTCTCTCCCTGATTTCATCCCCTCGACACTTTGTGATAATCCAAACAACATCGGATAATTATTAGATAAAATCCAGTCAATCGTCTGATATCGCGCAAGCTATGCATTAATTCATGATATTAGGTCTATGTTAGATGCATTTAATCAGAAAACATAGTGACGACAGCTATAAAGTGACAACTATACTAGTTATGCATATAGAATTAATGTATTGTAATATACATGTAGAGTTAATGTCTCACATAATGTGACTAAAGTTGCAATGATCGCAAAATAATTCATTAAACTATATACGTGTTACAATTTTATACAAAGCTCATACAGTCATTTTATAATATTAATAATTATAAAATGATTATAAAATGAATATAATTATTCGTACATTTTATATCATCAATATATTTTTTTTCAAGCGAAAATGACGATCCTCGATCTTAACTCGAGAATGAGAGCTGAGGTATCAGCGATATCTCTGCGGTCGTATATAAAACGGAACTCACAGACTGGTTGGAACCTGGAGACACTTTGGCCGCACCACTCTCGCCCATAAAGAAGGAGCTTGCACTGTCTCCATGGTCCGAAGTAGCCCTTCTCCGCGGCGGTGCCAGCTGCAACAGCACAAGCGGAAAATTACTCGATAAAAATGCTATTTCCTCGCTCCCGGCGAAGAAGGGCAGGAAATTGTAATGGAAAAAATGAAAAAAAGGACCAGCGAGAGCACTTATCTTTAAGTATTCGCGAGTCGGCCGCGTGATCGACGGCAATAATTAAGGCGGGATCCTTCGAATCGCGGGAACCGCGATCAAAATTCGACAGCTTGAGGTGCACTCAACGTCACGATGATGTGTTTACGTAGGGATATGCGTCTTGGCGATGATCCGGATCTCGGAAACGAGAGAAGTAAACGAGGGAAAAGTGAGGTCCTTCTGCCGTCTCTTTGCAGAAACGATCGTAGGATGAACGAACGTGCAAACAGGTGGAGAAACCGCAATTTCGAGTCAAGCTCGTTTCCCCGTTCAAATGATCCGTAAACTCACGACCCGCGTCATTGTGTGTGAGTGATCTCTGCCATCCCCTGTTCCATCTCGTTTGATGTTCCGGAAGAGAGAAGATGCGCGACATTTCGATCCAACCTTTTCTCGTTTGCCCCCCTCCTTCTTCCGCTCACGTCGCATAGGGGACAAATAGAAATTTATTTCAAAAATCGCTAGAAACCACAATTTTATAGCAATCAGGATGATTTTTTTTTTAATTAAACGTTAATCAATGTAGAAAAAAACCATTGAACCTGATTTTTAAAAAATTCTTCTAAACGTTGCAATATTAATAAGAATTAAGTTCGTATTCAGCAACCTAAATCTAATATACCTTACACATTTCGTGCTACAGAAACATTTTTTTCATATCGGCTATGCGATTGGCAGACAGCTGTTAAATACCAGATCTTAATACTGGCTTTACATTTATGTTGAACGATTTTGTATACCTTATTGCAACATACATACTGTGTAAAACAATAATTTTGTTTATGTTGACTGGGAATTAGCAGTTGTTAACTGCCAAATTCTGATTTTTATATTGATTCGTAATCAGCGATGTTGAAGACCTTAGTACCTAAAATGCTATTTCCTCTCTCCCGGCGAAGAAAAGCAGGAATTTATAATGGAAAAAATGAAGAAAAGGACCAGCGAGAGCACTTATTTTTAAGTGTTCGCGAGTCGGCCGCGTGATCGACGGCAATAATTGAGGTGGGATCCTTCGAATTGCGGGAACCTTCGAATTGCGCGATCAAAATTCGACAGCTTAAGATGCACTCAACGTCACGATGATGTGTTTACGTAGGAATATGCGACTTGATGATGATCTCGGAAACGAGAGAAGTAAACGAGAAAAAAGTGAGATCTGACTGTACTGTGCAGTGAAAAGATCGAAAGTTTTCCCATTGGAGTGGCTCACAAAACTTGATAATTTTTTACAAATTCTTATTAATATTGCAACACTTAGAAGAATTTTTTAAAAAATCGAGCTCGAGAGTTTTTTCTACATTAATTAACGTTTAATTAAAAAAAAAAAATTCGCCCCGATTACTATAAAATTGTGATCTCTAGCGATTTTTGAACAATAAATTTCTATGCAGTAAAAAATCAAGGCGGAAGCGAGATAAAAATGACGTTTACCGACTGACAGATTCGTACATACGAGACTCGATATGCTCGCTGAAAAATAACGTTTGCATATCACCCGACCAACTGAGAGAAAAGTCGACTCTGCCGGTGAACTGCGCTTCACTCACCGGATCGACGAGCACCGGTACGATTCGATACGCTAATAGGTCGGCCAGCCGGTCGGCATTCGTCTGTAAATTCAATCGCGGATAATTTCATGGATAATACACGCGCAAATATGTTAATCGAGATTTTTTACGTCGGTACTTACTTTGCAAAGCATCGTTATTCTGGCGCGCGTACAATATAACGAACATCAACTTCATACACAATAATTGGACGTAAATATGCAAAGGCTGTTTTCAACGGTCTAAAATGTGTATAGTCATTATATGATACGATAATTTATGATAATAATATGATATTTATGATATTAATAGGGTAATTGTCCATATTACCATGCATTATGCGGACATTATGCGGTATAATAATTTATGAGAGATAATAAACGATACTTATGATATTAATAAAGTTATTATTCATATTACTGTGTTTTTATTAGGCGCATTTCTATTTAAATAAGCCGTAAAAAGAAAACTAGCACAAATAAATAGAAGTATTTCTTTGATTAAGTTATCAAACTTAATAAAAAGTACTTTCTCTATTTATTTATGCTAGTTTCTTTATGGCTTATTTAAGTACAAATGCACAATAACAGAAACAGGCACAGTAATACTGACAGTTACCGTACAAATTCTCTCGGTGTGTGTTTACATTCTATAAAAAAAGTCGACAGACTTGACGATAAACACAACAATAAAAGATTAGGTTAATAAATCTAAGTGGGAAATATCCAGACAAATCAATTTAGTCATCCTCAACGTTTTTCCAATAGAAAATAAAAACTGATTTTCATTTCTGGGTCAGATTATTCTCGCATAACCATTGCACTAACTCCTGATAAAGAAAATAATGGCAGTTGTGTTATAAGAATTAAGCGGAGATTTCATGGATATTATGTTTTTTGTCCGCAAGAACAGAGTCTGTTCGTTCGGTACACACATTATCGCACACGATTACGCGTTTGCCAGGAATATAAATCGCAGTTAGTCGATTATGGCTTGTCCGCGTCGCGACTACATTTCTCGAAGGTGTACGAAATTGAATCCGCTATTTTGCAGGAGGTAAATTTCGCTGAGCTACGATTCGCAATAGTCGGCAAATTCACAGAAGTGGTGTCTGGCACAAAAAGGGCAGCAGTGAGCAGTCTTCGCGCAAATGTTGCGAAGTAATCTGCGGGAGTACATATTGCGCGTGAAATAATCTTCTCGGGGGAGCGTCGCAAAGCCGCCGTGCGTGACAATTTCACGCCACACGCGATTAATATCGCGGGGGTGACACGTAAATCGAGCCGCGATCGACCTTTAATCCGCGATTTTCATAATCCATTCTTTGCGCGCGCGAGTGAAGCGAGACGCGAGCATTACAGCACGCCGCTGAAATGGCGAAGTCGCCACCGAATTCGATGTAGACACATTGTTTGTTTCATATATTGAAGCGTACGCAACGTAAACCTCCCTCTTCTCCGAAAAATAATATAGTCCGCGCGAGGCGATATATTTTTTTTCGGCAAGCAAAATATCGTTTTCGCTCCGGGGAAACCGCGAGTGACCCTCGGCTTGTGATTTCGCTCTGTCCATTCGCAAATCGAGTTGCCGAAGTGGTGGTGTTTTGTCGTAGCGTCGTAACAGGCACTCGTTAGGATGTCGAATCAAACAAACGCGGCGCGAGTGAATTTATGAATTGCGGTGAAATCGGCCGAGGACGATGCGGAACGGCGGTTGTACAACCGACACGAGATTCCCGGATGCGGGGAGATGCAGCGGTGAATGCAGTGGAGTATGCAGCGGTGGATTTCAACGCGTTATGGTACGTACATACATGCATGTATAATTGGCCGTAAAGTTACGCAAGAAAGATCCGACCCACACGAAGTACGCTTCGAGAAAAATGGAGATGAAAATTTGATGGGTGATTTGAAAAGTATAGAAAATACTTTGGAATCTAATTGGGGCTCAGCCCGATTTGCCATAATAATCATAGATTCTAGATGGAAAATCTATGCAGGATTTGGTTAGAAGTATAATGTTTGAAACATGCGAATTTAAGTTAAATTAGGTTAGGTTAGGTTAACGAATCTAAGTGAGAAACATCCAGATAAATCTTTTGATTTATCCCCAGTATTTTTCCAATAGAAAATAAAAACTAATTTTCATTTCTGGGTTAGATTATTCTTGCATAATTATTGCACTAACTTCTGATAAAGAAAATAATGGCAGTTGTGTTATAAGAATTAACCCATTAACGTCCAAATGTGTTGAAATTTTACGTTGATTTGAGCCATTTATTTTACTACGGAAATGAAATCTATTGTTTATAAAGAGTACCATTCCTACCAATTTCGATGAAATCTGTTGTTTATAAAGAGTACCATTCCTACCAATTTCGATGTCGCTCTATCGAATAGCGTTGTGAAAATTTAAAAAAATCGCAATTTATGCAAAATTTTTGCAAAATAAAATAAAAAAATGTTTTTAAGGCTAATTTTTTCTTCTTCCGCTATTTTCTCCATAAAAATACGTTAGTAGCTCAGGAAAGTGTTTAAAACATGTTCCTGACACTTTAACTTAAAAAATATGCCATGGGTATATTTCAACAAATATGGCGGTACCAAAATGGCGGTCGATTTGAAACGTTTAATTCGAATTTTCGTTTATATTTGATTATCGAAATTGTTTTAGGCTTAATATTACTACAAAATTACATAGTAATTTGCATAATAATTACATAGTAAAACAATTTAGATAACTAAATATAAACGAAAATTCGAATTAAACGCTTCAAATCGACTTCCATTTTGATACCGTCATGTTTGTTGAAAAAAATATTCATGATATATTTTTTAAGTTAAAGTGTCGGGAACACGTTTTAGATACTTTCCCGAGCAATACTAACACGTTTTTATGGAGAAAATAGCGGAAGAAAAAATTAGCCCTAAAAACATCCGTTATTTATTTTATTTGCAAAAATTTTGCATAAATTGCGATTTTTTTTTAATTTTCACAACGCTATGCGATAGAGCGACATCGAAATTGGTAGGAATGGTACTCTTTTTAAACAACAGACCTCATTTCCGTAGTAAAATAAATGGCTCAAATCAACGTAAAATTTCAGCACATTTGGGCGTTAATAGGTTAAGCGGAGATTTCGTGAATATTATATCAATTAGGAGAATCTTTTCGTATAATATTCGTACGCAATTTAATCTTTTAATTATGTTAACTTTCTCGATATGACAAGTTTGTAATATTGTCACATCAACTCTCTTCTTTTTCCGACAGAGACACCTTTTATGCGCGCGCATAAGGGAGATTGCGGTTACCACCACCAACACATCGCGTCTTGTTTATCCGAGCACGTGGTCAAAATCACGCGAATTAATTCGCCGCGACGAAATCGTCCAGCCCTAGAACGACGCGCTTTAGGGAGTCTCAAGAGACACCTCATTTCGCGGCTATCCCCGTTTTTGGCGGTAATTTTCCGCTGGCCGAAACGGTTAGGGTAGCGTGGACGCTCCCGAAAGCGACGGCACCCGTAATTACTTAGCGGCACATTCAGTGACGCATCCGAAGGGTTGCTTAATGCACCACGAAAGGCTCGATGCATGTTTTCAAGCGGAAAGAATATTAATGAGCGAGCTCGTTACCAGCCCGCTATCTCCCAACCGCATGCCGACGTTTTTCGTGAAAACGCACGGAACTTCTTATCTTGTTCGAATCAAACACTGATTATGCACTGAGAGAAAAATGTATGATATTTCGAACTATAATGGTACAGTAAAAAGATTATAGTTAGGAATATTATTTTTATAGTATATATTACCACACACATACACACACAACATAATGTTTGTAATATTTACAATATAAGCATAGTATAACTAACCCATATAAAACTTTTACTAAGAATTATAATTATTTGAAATAAAAAATATAGTAACCCAAGTAGGAATCATATACGTTTCGCCAATACGAAAAAATGGTTCGATACTGGGTCGATATCGAAAAGCGGATGTCTGGTTTTGGTACTGGCTCAATATTGGGCCTAATATAAAAAAGCTGTATTATTGATACTGGCTCCGTACTAAGGTTAGGTACTAAATAGTCGTACCGTACACTGAGAGAAAAATGTATGATATTTGGAACTATAATGGCATAGTAAAAAGGTTATAGTTAGGAATATCTTTTTTATAGTAAATGTCACCATAATGTTTGTAATATTTACAATATAAGCATAATATAACTGACTCATGTAAAACTTTTACCAATAATTATAATTATTTGAAATAAAAAATAGAGTAAAGTAGCAAATATTAAATGGTAAGAGAAATTAACTATTTTATATAGTCAATACAATTGGAATATTTGGAAAATATGGGTACATGTAACTATATTCTTAAAGCGTGCTTTACTATACGCATAGAGTAATAAGATGGTGACTATAAATGTGTGTTCATTCTGCTATATCTTCGTGTTTAGATGAACTATAAATATATGTTTGAGGCCAAAACGAACTATAAAATATAGTGAGATTATAGTTCATTCTGCTATATCTTCGTGTTTAGATGAACTATAAATATATGTTTGAGGCCAAAACGAACTATAAAATATAGTGAGATTATAGTTATTCCAACTATTTTTTTCTCTCAGTGTAGGTGTACTGAGGCGTTATTGAAAAGTGTTTGTCGTTTTTGGTACTGGCCCAGTATTTCAAAAACTGTATTATTGGTACTGGCTCTGTTCGTAGAATCAGTACTGCATACCCAAGTATACAGTCTATTAATAGAGGATATTGGGCCACACTGAGAGAGAAATATAGTTTCCTTTGGCGTCAACTATACGCTTTTGTGATTTTAACTACAAAAATAATTAGAGGAACCATTGTTTTAGTAAGTGTTATTAGAAAGATAATTCTTTTAATTATTTTTCTGGTTAAAATCACAAAAAAGTATAGTTGACGCCGAAAGCAACTATATTTTTCTCTCAGTGCAGTATTGTGCTGGTACCGAGAAATGGACGATACCAATGTCCTTTATGGGAAAACGGAAGAGGTTTTACCTCTTCTAACGCGAAACCTAGATAGCTCAGTGATAAGAACGCTTGCCTGACAAGCGGAAGACTCGAGCTCGATTCCAGCCGTCGCCCCGAAGATTTTTTCCTCATATGACTATTAAAAATAGACATGTATACAAACGAGAGCAGGCCCGGCCATAGTCTGATCTTTCTTTCCGTACTATATGGTTGTGATATTAACAATTGTGTGATTGTACAAATAATAAAAATTACTAAGAATCGATACTGGCCCAGTACTGGGAATAGATACTTCCCCAGTGCTAGGAATCAATATTTTTTTTATACTGGTATAGTACTGATTTTCGATACTGTAACAGTACTATTTTCCGATATTGACCCTTTTCTATCATCCCAGTATCACACCAATACTAAATCCGTATAGGCATCTGGTACTGTGCCAGTAACGTTTACCATAAATCAATACTGGGCCACTTTGATGCCAGTAGTAAATTCTTACTTGGAAAGGTAGCAAGTATTGAATGGTAAGAGAAATTAATTATTTTATATAGTCGATATAATTGGAATATTTGGCAAATATAGGTATATGTAACTATATTCCCAAAGTGTGCTTCACTATACACAGAGTAATAAGATGGTGACTATAAATCTGCGTTCATTCTGCTATATCTTCATGTTTAGATGAACTATAAATATATGTTTAAGGCCAAAGTGAACCATAAAATATAGTAAGATTATAATTCCAACTATATTTTTCTCTCAGTGTGTAACAGCTACCTTGCAATTGTCACCGTATAGCAATTCATTTCGCAATTTAATTTCATGCTGCAATTCTAAACAGAATCGTAAGATTCATAACTTGCTCTCATAAAATTAGTAAGAACTTATGAGTAGATATACAATTCTATTTGGACTGTATGTCGTACGATCATTCGTATATCTACGATTTCACGTAATTTACACTATTTAGAAGTGACATCATATATATCATATACATCATATACATCAATACATCAGTATACATCATATACATCAATATATGCTACGCATAGAATTGTAGATCTATTCATAAGTTCTTACGAATTTTACGAGAACAAGTTACGAGACTTACGATTTTGTTTAGAATTGCAGCATTAATCTTTACGCGGAAAGAACAACTTTCTTTTTACGTAAATTGGGCCTTCAATTCTAGAATGACTGTGTTAACAAGAAAAATAGCAAAATACAGCATAGCTTTTCTTTCTGGTATCAAAAATCAATTTTTCTAACAGAGATTGACACTAAATGCATCCTATATATTTCGGGATTCCGAAATTACAACAGACAAACAATTGTTGTGACTGACAATTTCATTTTGACTTCACCTTAATTTCCGAATAGGTCTTTCTTTTCTCCCTGAGCTTAAGGGAACTGGAGGGTCAGATTGCCTGAAAATCATGCTTGTTCTTTCATAATTTTTTTTTGACAAACTGAATGAATATGCGAAAGTGTTATTTTGACGTGTATTTATACAACATATAAAGAGAAGAAAAATATAATTTTGATGATCAAATATTCAATATAAGTATATTGCAATTAAAATATATTTCGTTTTTCTTTTTAAAGTCGACATTTTGCAGTAATATCTTAACTCTCGGTGGTTTAATTAAGTTGAATTTTAGGTAAAAAATTTCCGTAAGCTTATTATCATGTGAACCACTGACGAACTCGTGAAAATATTTAATTTTGAAATGTTAATTTTTTTTACTATAAAAAACTGAAAATTTAATAATATTCCAT